TATGGAGTTTCAACCACTAAGAAGTGGGTGCAGTATCATTAGATTGTTACTTTTATTCTCTACTCTTTGCTTTATCTACTTTATGATCATGAACCTGTAATTTCTAAAAGTAAGTTCGTTTGTAGTTAAAATTAACAATACAGATTTCCACATTTCTAGTTTCACACGGATGCTTTGTTATGTCTAGAAGAGCAACCGTTTCCTTTTTATGGTGCAGGCTCTGCTTCTTCAAAGCTCTTTTCACAAAGCAGAGCCCCCAAAGAATCCAGCTGTGGCTGTTAATCTTGGCTGATAGTGGAGAAACTTCTCAATGCTATAGATTCTTAACCTGTAAAACACAGTTAATAACAAAATGCCCTTTAGTATACTACTCTTTCTGATATAACTTACTCCAGAATTTTCCCCAAACACATCCCAAAAGCATTCTCCATTTTTCCAAATTACAGTTTGTTATATGGAGTAAGAGGACCAGAGAAAACATAAGAAAAAAAGATGCTTCTCATGTTCACAAGATGAGCAAGATAGACCATCTCTACCATGCACAAGGGCTTATACTGAATAATTTTTTTGTTAAATCACTATTTTTCTCCCACCTCACTGGGATCTTCAGCAATTCACACTTTTTCATCCAAACATAAGCAAAGTGAATCTCTACTAAAGCTGAACTTCGACAATAAGGATGTCTTTCACTTGTTACATTGAAATGAAAAAAATAATTCCCGCCCAGTATATAAAGCCATAATACTTTCTAAAACAGTGCAGATGATCTGACTAAAACACCTACAAACTATATACAAATGTGTATTATTTTTATTTGTTTTTTATTAGTTGACAGGACAGCACAGAGTATTTTCCCCTTGGCTTTAAATTCAACCGTTTTCAAATCTCTCTGGCATACAGTACAACTGAGGGGACATGCTATGTTATTTAGAGTCATGCCTCCAAAAATAGTCTACATGCTGATTTCACCTGATAAATCTGACAATCTCTGAAGACACTTCCATGCACATTAACACAACAGCTTGATTTTTCTACCAACAATAACTACAACAAAAACAACTAACATTTATTGATGCTTACTGCGTGCTAGACAGTGTAATCATTGGTTTACAAGAATTACCTCACTTAATCTTCACACCAATCCTGAGATAAATACTATTATTATCCCCATTTTATAGATAAGGAACAGAGAAGTCAAATAATTTATCAAGATCACAGAGCTAGTAAGTAACTATTACTACAGTTTTGAAAGACAGATAAAAGTAACCTGCTGAAGTTATTAGAATAATAAAATTCAAAGACATCCGACATTACTTGGAGTACACAAAGGCAACAGAGCAAGTGAATCCCAGGCTTTTTGATCTTTTAATTAATCAGGCAAATCACAAACCAAAATGCTAATTTTATTTAAAAAAAAAAAGCTTTTCCCAGACTCACTTTTACCAAGGTAGCAATATGTGCCATTAATTCCATCTCTAATATGTTAAGTTGCCAATGTCAAAAACTGTCTAGGCATAGCAATCCTCAAACCACTCTCATGTGGTCAACTTCCTTTATCTCTCAAAATTATGAGCCCCTGAAACTCTTTGTTCCAAAGTGGTTACCTCTTTAACCACAGCATTTTCCTCTGGCAAATGTGAACTGCAGACAAAAAGGTAGATTTATATTACTCACCAAATGACTGAAGTTACTATTTGTGGGTTGCTTTGTGTTTTGTTTTCACATTATGAAAATGTCCATGTGGATGTTTGGAGGCTGTAATGTCTCACAAAGAAGGTCAAATTATATATGATACTTTGATAACCCATAAACAACGTTCTATCAGTGGCAACAAATGTTATCTCACGCTATCCCACAATCACATTACCAGGTAAACTGGAACTCTTACTTTGAGATAAAATACAGCAGACAGTTGCTAATGAAACCTTAATTGAACTGTCACAGCACCATCTTTACCAGCAAGCTAATGAGTAATTCACTACTTTTACACAACTATCCAATACTGATAAGTTATTCCACTAGTTAAATTCAACAGAAAGATAAATCAAGTCAGCTAGACTAAATTGTTCAGTGATAAATCTGGTAAAATGCTGCATCACTTCTACAAATATCTCTCCTTGTCTACATGGAGAAACAACAATCTCTCTCAAAATTGCATGCCACTTTTTTAGCCATCAGTTAGTACCCCTGGGTATATGTCCCCAAGGAAATGGGGGCAAAATACAGTTTCTTGTCATATGCTATTCCAGAAGAATACTTGCAAAATGCATTAAATGAATATATGTTTGAATTAAGTGAATCTTATAATACCCAGGTAGTTAGTTATGTGGTGGTTTGAATCAAATGATGTAATATTGGGAGAATATTTTTATGTTCCATTATAATCATTTTAGAAAAAAGTTGTTTCCAATTCATAAGGTACTTCCTAAATTAAAAAGATAGATTCTGTTTCAGTTAAAAAGTAAAAAAAACCTCACTAATATCTTTACCTTGGGTTTCAAAATACTAGCGTAAATCCCTGTAGTTTGTTTTCAAATCTCTGAACAGTCTTACTTAGGTCATACAACAGTTAAATTTCAAATATAATAAGCAATTCAGACAGCAGGTCATTGACATGTAAATATAAAAATAGAAAAGTATTTGCATACTAAAACATACACCTGGAACTCTTTCTTTTTTCACACCAAATTGTATTTCACCTGTTACAGCTGATGAAAACACTCAATATAGTTAACTAGAAAAACTTGGTTTAAAAAAAAGACCTGAATCACGTGAGGACACAGAAAGAGGGCGGCCATCTACAAGCCAAGGAGAGAGGCCTCAAAAGAAACCAAATCTGTACCTTGATCTTGGATTTCTAGCCTCCAGAACTGTGAGAAGTAATTTTCTGTTGTTTAAGCCAAAACAAAGAAAGACCTGACTAGATCAATTAACCAAGCAGCAAAGATGCCAAAGCACTGTGCTAGGCGCTGAGGAGAAAAGGATTACTACAGTAGACAATCCTTACCCTCAAGGAGCTTACAAGGTTTGTCTTGTAGTCAGTGACACAAGACAAACCTGAAATAAGATGGTGCACAGAGGTGTACTTTAAGTACATGAGACAAACTCCATAGGTGGTAGAGCAGTCAATCAAATAACTCTAGAATGGATTCAAATCAAATATATTTGGGCTTTCATATATCAGAGATTCAGAGTACCCACTAGCAGAACGTTTGCTGTGTGAGATGTTTCAGCACTCCAGTTCTTTATTGCCCCCTTCCTTAAAAAAATAAATAAAATTTAAAAATCTTCCCTTGCCACCTAAGTTAAAACTGCTACAAGTCACATCACTTTTTGATAGAAATGTAAGTGAAAAATGCCTTTTGAATATATTCAAGAATGCTGCAACCCATTTCCCTTTCAGTATCCCTAGTTTTTAGCATTGTATGTAAGGCACTAAAAAAGCCAGCAAGCATCCACATCTAAGAGGCTCCAAACAAGTGCTAAAAGTTATTAGTAAATCAATGACAAAATTTAAACCAAGGAACAACCATTTTCCTGTCTGCTCCATCCCCCAACCAAAGCTTGGAAATCCTCAAGAGTTAGGCAAGAATAGGAAGTTCACAGTTAAACCTCTTAGATAGTCTGTGGAAGGGACAGAGGAAGGCAGGAACAGGCGGGTCCCTGAGCAGAATGACTGAGGCACCATTACCAGCTATACTCTTTCCCACCTTGAATCCCACACACTTTGGAGAAAGGGCTGCGCTGCAGCAGAAACTTCCTTGGGGATTAGCTGAGAAAATACTGGACTCTACTAGCTTTTTTAAAAAATGGATGAGATCACTTAGTAGCCTAGATTGTCAAATCTGAAATATAAATAAGATGGCCAGTTAAAATGCATAAACGATGCGCCCATCAATTTTAGCCTCAAAAACAATAACGAAAGGAGATATTTACCGGGCCAGTTCCAAAGAGTTCATTTTCCTGTGGTAATGGGGGCTTTTCTAGACAGTAACAAGAATCAGTTTTTGAATGCACTGAAAATATCAATTCATCTATCCAAAGTGTAATCATTAGTCCTTGGGAGAAAACCCAGTTCATTCTAGTTTTGACAGGAATAAACATATTTTATTATAAACTACTAATCTTTTTAAGGTTAGACCAAATAGACCAAAATGTTATATTTAAGAAGCCCTTAGGCTTTTACAAATGTCCTAGCACTAGCAAAAGTAGTGTCATTTGTTTAAAAAGTATTATTTCCTACTACAGCAACTGACCAACAGATAATAGGAATTTAAGAGGCACTAAATGACACTAAAACATTACACTGAATGTGGGCCACTGCATAGCTAGTCTACTAACCTCATTTGTGGTACTCATGTGTGATGCTATATTTAATGCATTCTTATCAAAAGGCTACAGCTACATACTTCCCAACTGTAGCTCCATGGTTTAAAATAAACCACTCAAGCAATGATCTTAACTGGTTCAACTATGAATCCTATCTTTCTTCTCGAGATCAAGATCACAAAATAAGGAGTGAAAAGACAGAAGGATAGGAAAGTAGTTATGCAAAGTATATCGTAATGACAAGAGTATTATAAAGGAATTCAGTTTGGATCAGTTGCTAACACTTAATGCCACTGGGCAACCGATCCAAACTAAATCAAACACACGAAATGACCAAGGTCTTTGTAGGAGTTAGTATTCCATACATTCATCTACTGATGCTGTGTTCAGTGGCTTGCTTAGGTTCTAACAGAAAAGTTTGGTAGACAGCAAACTTATGTGTGTTGCTCATGAGAAGGTGCTCCACCAAAACTTGCCATGAGCCTAGACAGCCAATGCATTAGGCCTAGACAGCCAATGCATTACCACTTTAGTGAAGGTGGCTTCCTACAGTTGGGTTGAGAAGCTTGCTCCACCTTGGTCAGCATGGAGAAAACCACGAGGGATGCACTCACCCAATCACAACCATCAGAAGAAACCATGAGAGGTTGTGTTTTTCTTTGGATACTCACCAGACAACACCAAAGGCTCCATATCCAATAGGTCTATCCGGCTCAATATCCAGCTGCTGTTGTGGATGATGCGAGTGCTGATGATGGTGCGCCTTAACTGTAGCAGCTGCGGCAGCCTGTACCTGAGCTGGGGCTGCTGCAGCTGGTCCAGGAGCCTGCCCCGGTGCCGGTGATGGGAAATATGGCTGTTGTTGCCCAGGGTTTAACATGGCTGCAGCTGCAGCCGCTGCTGCGGCTGCCGCAGCTGCCGAAGAGGTGTGCTGCTGTACAGGGTGTACAGCGGCAGCCGACCCCGGATGAAGATGGTGTTGAGGGTGGTGGTGGTGGTGCAGGTGAGGAGGAGGGAGGTGTGGAAGGTGGTGGTGATGGTGGTGGTGGTGACCTGCTGCTGCTGCAGATGTACCGCCATTGTAAGCCGCCATCATTTTTGCGTTGGCTCTTGCGCCACAAAGAGACATTCAAAATAAATGCCCTTTGATTGGAAAGCAAACTGGGTCAAGCTGTCATTTGGCCATTTAAAAATGAAGAAAAACCACTCACTCCACCTCAAAAAACATAGAGCGTAACTGGCTTTATGTCTTCATCAGTCAATCCAAACAAGTTAGAGGATCTTGGTGTTTAATTTTGGGGTGAGCGTGTGTGGAAGGGTGTGGGTTGCCAAAAGGAAAAAAAAAAGGAAAAAAGAAAAGAAAAAGGAAAAAAGGACCCCTTCCCCCCAGGATTCCTGCCACAAGTGGGTACTAAAACTCCATTCTTAATTTGGGGGAGGTTCCAACTTTGAATGTGGGAATAAAGGCCAAACCTCCCGACCCCCTGAACTCCACACACGAAAAGGATCAGGTAACACACCACCCTTGGAATCTTGAAAGAGGGTTGAATCATCTACCCCTTCCATTCCCACATCCTTTTCTAAACACCTACCACCTCCTCAAAAACAGGATTAAAAAAAATTCCCACTACCCTAAATGGAGAAGATGGGGGGAAATTTTCTGGGAAACCAGCTTCCAGCGTCCCCCCCCCCTCGAACTCTCAGGCCTTCCTACATCTCCCCCTACTCCTAGTCAGGTTGACCTGATTGGGGAGGGGGGGGCGGGGGTTCTAAACTTTCCTGGGCAGAATGAGCCAGGGAAGGAGGCTGGAGTGAGGAGAGGAGGCGACAGCAGGACAGAGAGGAGAAAGAGAGCTAGGGCAAAAGTGAAGGGAAGGAGGTGCAAGGAAGAATGAAAGATGTGGGCAGCGCTCGGACGCCCAGACAGCGGGAACCGCCCCGGGAGAAGGTTAGGGTCCCGGGGCCAAAGAATAGGAGCCCCGGGAGGCGGGCGGAGTACGGTCGGAAGCGGGCTGACTCCTGCCCCCGCCGCCGGCTGCTTCTGCTGAGGAGGGTTGGGGGGGAGAGCGGGTGGGTCCCCCGCGCGACGGCCCCTCAGGGCTCAAGGCTGCTCCGTCTCCCCCCCTCCCCCCCACCCGGCTTCCGTCCCCGCGGCCGCTTTCTCCTCAGCCGCCGCGGCCGCTTTCTCCTCAGCCGCCGCCTCCTCAGCCGCCGGTGCCGCCGCGGCCGGACTCACCTCCCCTAGCAAAGCCGGATAGACCGGAGCCAGCGGCGGACACGCGCAACCAGCCGCCGAGGCCCCGCCCCCGCCTTGCACTGACCGGCTGCCCTAGCCAATCCACGCCCACCTGTCCGCTACCGCCTCCAATCCTGGGCCAGGAGCTTCAGACAGGCGCACTGTTCGGCCAGTGGCAACAAGGTGTGGGTCTTCTGGGGAAATCCCGCCCCCGATCCGGGATGGGCAGATAGAAAGACCAATCAAAGGCAGAGTTTGGCTTGACCGACACGGCTTAAAGCCAATGAAAAAGCAAAGATCTTTGTGACATTTTTCTTTCGCCTCTCTCCTCTTTTTTCTTCTTTTATTATTTATTTATTTTTTGGCAGGAGCAGGAAGCTGCGTGCTAATCCCGCCTGCAAAAGCTGGAAGAGAGGGGCGGAATGAAAGAACCAATCATGAGCCAGAGGCAAAGAACAGAGTAACCAATCCTTGGGTTGAAAATGAAGTATGCGGGCACCTGGGCCAGATAGACACTTGACCTGACAAATGGAAAAAAAGATTGATGTAAGTCCCACCCTTTATAGCTCCTCTAGGACAGGATTGTGGAGAATTTGCTGTCATATCGAGACAACCTCTTCCAGGGGCGGGGCTTAGGAAAGGGGTGGGGTCTCAAAGTGGGCGGGACCTAGACGAAGAAGGCGGACCCCAAATCACCACTGGTCCACCGATCCCCGAGCCGTCTAATATACCACTTAAGATGTAAAGTGTGGGGCAAAAATAGGGGAAGAAAAAGGGAATGCTGAGCTTCAGAAAGTCAAGGTCCAAGGTCACTCAACAAGAAGACAGTCACAAAAGAAATTCAGTAGACTGACAGTTCATAGTCTACGGCCGGTCCTCTCCATGGTTAATCCTGATCTTGGCAAAAAGAGGAGGAATCTCCAGCATTCAGAACTCCACTGTCAACAGATGATAAAGTTGTTGGTGCAAATTAAAACAAAAAAGTAAACTTGACCACAAAAATAATACTTTTCTTCCATCTTTCTTTCTTAACAGGGTTACGTTCTGTCACCCAGGCTAGACTGCAGTGGCACAGTCCTAGCTCGTTGCAGCCTCCAACTCCTGGCTCAAGCAATCTTCCCGCCTCAGCTTCCCAAGTAGCTGGGATTACAGATGTGCACCACCATGCCCGGCTGATTCTTTAATTTTTTAGAAACAGAGTCTCAATATGTTGCCCAGGTTGGTCTCAAATTCCTAGGCTCAAGAGATCCTCCCACCTCCCACCTTGGCCTCCCAAAGTGCTAGGATTACAGGCGTGAGTCACCGCCTCCAGCCTCTCCCATATTTTCTATCAAGTAAGTTTCTGTCATTGAAATCTTACTAAAATAGCATCTTTCCTTTACATCACTTGATTTATCTGAATTTACCCTTCTTTTAAAATGTGAAATAATAAGCTTACAGAACCTTATCCCTACCGAAACTGCATAGTTTACTCAGAAACTTGGAGGTCATCTTCAATTCCTCCTTTGCCTGTCCACGTTGTCCCTTCCAATCAATCAATCATCAAGTCTTTTTTTTTTCTTTCTTTTTTTTTTTTTTTTGGTGGAGGGACATGGTCTCTGTTGCCCAGGCTGGAGTGCAGTGGCGTGATCACAGCCCACTGCAGCCTCTACCTGTTGGGCTCAGGTGATCCTCCCACCTCAGCCTCCCAAGTAGCTGCAGGCACACACCACCACACCTGGCTAATTTTTGTATTTTTTTGTAGAGATGGGGTTTTGCCATGTTGCCCAAGCTGAATCATCAAGTCTTAAACAATTTTAAATCCCTCTCACTTCTGCTTCTTCCCAGTCACACAGCATTTACCCAAATTTACACCACTAACATCTTTAACCATTTCCCTGCCTACAAGCTAGCTCTCCTTTGATCCATCCCCCTCTGGGGGCATAGTAAATTTTAAAAAATACAAATCTGAGACCAGGGGCAGTGGCTCACAACTGTAATACCAGCACTTTGTGAGGCCAAGGTAGGTGGATCCCTTGAGCTCAGGAGTTCAAGATCAGTCTGGGCAATGTGGCAAAACCCTGTGTCTACAAAAAATACAAAAATTAGTGGTACACATGTCTCTAGTCCCAGCTACTGAAGAGGCTGAAGTGGGAGGATAGCTTGAGCCAGGGAGGTAGAGGCCGCAGTGAGCTGAGATCCCACCAGTGCACTCCAGCCTGGGTGACAGTGAGATCCTGTCAAAAAAAAAAAGGCTGGCTGTACCCTAAATAGCCTGGCATGATCTGGTTTCCGCCTACCTACCTCAAGGGTCTTATCTCTCCCCTCCACTCTCTACACTTCAGACATTCTGAACTTCCTGCAGCTCCTTGAATGCTTTCAAGCCTTCATGCATATCTTCAGCCCAAAACACTTCCCGCCCATCCTTCACTGCTCTAATTCATCCCTCAGGTCTTCATGTAAATTTTACTTTTTTTCCTGGAAAGTTCTAACTCTGTTCTAGAGTATATGTTTCTGTTGTATATCTCCATGACACTGCCTCCCTCATATCTATATTTTAAGTGCTTGTTGAGTTTGACCAGGGACAGAGAGCTTGTCTGTCTCACTCAGTGTTGTATGCCCAGTTCCTTAGGACAGTGCCTGGGAAAAAAAGAAGACACTTGCTACAGATTTGCCTGAATTACTGAGTGCAGAAGTGGGTACAAACCCAAGCTCTGCCATTTACTTACTCTGTAGCTTAAGACAACTTAACTAACCTTTCTCAATCTCAGTCGTCTCAACTGAAATAATAATACATGACTCATGAGGTCGATACAAGGGTTAAATGAGGTGATATGTTTAAACATGCTTGGCAAATAGTGAAAATGCAATATAAATTCTCTTCAACACTCACCCTCACGTAATATTTGAGATGGTTCCAATTTTCCAGTGCACAGCACTCTCCTCCAAAGTGTAGTTCCCTAAAAGCTTCTTAGATGTTCAGCAAATTATCTGGTTTCACCTCAGACCTACTGAAAAGAATTGGGGGAGGAGAGGAGGAATCTGTTTAACAAGCTCTCCAGGTCATTCTTGTAAACACTAGAGCTTAAGAAGCACAGGCCTAGAGTAAAGAAGCTTAGTCTTTGTAAACTTTCTTTTTCAGCGCTTAGTATACTACTATAATAACACATAGAAAGTGCTTGATACATGTGAAATAAATAAATTAATCTAACCCATGAGAAAACAATTGTACATTAAGAGTTATTTATTCCTTCCACAAACATGTATTGAGCACCGATTATATCTAGGCACGGTGCTAACTTCAACTCTGAGTGAGAGGAGATAGATGTACAGATGCTCCTGGACTCATGATGTGTTTGTGTCCCAGCAAGCCCATTGTACATTGAAAATGCATTTAATACCCTAACCTACTGGACATCATAGCCTAACCTACCTTAACGTGCGCAGAACACTGACATTAGCCTACAGTTCTGCAAGATCATCTAGCACAGTCTATTTTATAATAAAATGTTGAATATCTCATAATTTATTGAATACTGTAGTGAAAATGAAAGCTGAATGGTTGAGGTCGGGCGCGGTGGCTCAGGCCTGTAATCCCAGTACTTTGCGAGGCCAAAGCAGGCAGATCACAAGGTCAGGAGATCAAGACCATCCTGGCTAACACGGTGAAACCTCGTCTCTACTAAAAATACAAAAAATTAGCCGGCCTGGGAGGCTGAGGCAGGAGAATGGCGTGAACTCAGGAGGCGGAGCCTGCACATCACTGTACTTCAGTCTGGGCAACAGAGTGAGACTATCTCAAAAAAAAAAAAAAAAAAAAAAAAAAGAAAAAAGAAAAAGAAAAAGAGAAGCAGAGTGGTTGAAAGGGGACTCAAAGTACACTTTCTACTGAATGGGCATCACTTTCAAATCATGGTAAACTAGAAAAATCAAACCATCATAAGTCAGGGATAATCTGTGTTAAAATCTCTGCCCCCAGGAGCTCTAAGTCTCTCTGGGTGCAAAAATTTCCAAAATGATGTGTGCACACCATGGTGGGGGGTGCACAAAGTGACCCACTAGGCTCCTGGAAGAAATTAGTACAACTTCTTCTGTTTCTATTTTTTTTATTTCATATTTTTAAAATATCCATTTTGTCAATGTTTTATAATGTACACAATATTACAGAGTAGTATAAATGTATAGCATTTATGAATAAATAAGAATATACAAATTGAGGAGTTGTGCTCAAAAATTTATCAAAAACACTGGGAAATCATTGGTCTGATGATCATTTAATAATGTTTATGGTTTAGATCAGTGCTGTCCTAGAGAAATATGAGAGCCACATATGAAATTTTATGTTCTAGTAGTCACACTAAAAAGTTAAAAGAGGCCAGGTGTGATGGCTCACACCTGTAATCCCAGCAATTTGGGAGGCCAAGGTGGGAGGATCGCTTGAGCCCAGAAGTTCAAGACCAGCCTGGGCAACATAGTGAAACCCCATCTCTATTGAAAAAAAAAAAAAAAAATTAACCAGGCATGCTGGCATGTGCCTATAGTCCCTGCAACTCAAGAGGCTGAAGTGGGAGGATCACCTGAACCCAGGGAGGTCAAGGCTGCAGTGAGCCATGATCATGCCATTGCACTTTAGCCTGAGCAGCAGAGTGAGACCCTATCTCAAAAAAAAAAAAAAAAGGAAAACAAAATTCATTAGCCACATGTGGCTAGTAGCTACTATGTTAGACAGCACAAATCTAGATCATGGGTTTGAATCCTTAATCTGTCCCTTACCAGCTGTGTGACCTTGGGTAAGTTCCTTAACCTATCTTAGTGTGAATTTTTTTTTTTTTTTTGTCTGTGAAACAGAGAGGTTCCCTGACATCTGCAGTTGTGATAATTCAAAGAGACAATCCATGGAAAGCACATAGCCTGGGGCTTGCTGGCAGTAAGTGGGATGGTTATTATTAGTACAGGTATTACAATCCAAGGCAAAGTGTCCCAAGTGTCCAGTGGAGAAATCATTTTGGGCACCATTCATTTCACGTCCCCAGCATTCCATCCACGTGGAGTGGCTGGCCCCTTAAACACATCATCAGACAGTACAATTTCCGGCCTTTTCCATTTTGTTCCATTTTCAGGAGCTGAGCATGATGAACGAGAAGTCGGAAGTGAGTCAGCAGGATAGCACTTAGAGCCTAAAAAAGCAAGCAGGACATCAGAATGCATAAGCAGGAATATAATGTGCAGGAAGTGGGAGGTGATCTTCCCTTTCTTCCAAGAACTGGCTCACCCCATAAGTTGTCTGCAGAGACTTTGCAGAACTTGGACCAGGCCCAGGAAGATTAAAGGACTACAAAAGGAGCAACTCATATTCAACAGTGCTGGGTGCTCAACACCTGTTCTCTCATGTGATCAATCATCAATATGTCCCATTTTGCAAATGAAGAAACAGACTCAGGAAGGCAAGGTACCTTACCAAATCTCACACATCTAGTGAGTGACAAAGCTGGGGCTGGCTGGCTTCCCACTGTACCCCACGGCTGGAGGGAAGGGGCAAAGAAGCGATGCTATGGAGTACCGGGAAGGACAGGCAGAGAATTCTTACCCTTTCAAGCCTGGCAGCCAGGGACGCCCCTCACTGGGTGCATGACACTTTTTTTTTTTTTTTTTTTAACATTTCTTACCCAAAACTGTTAGCAGAAGGCAGTAGGATCACCTCTGACCTTTTAGCACACACATTCCTCTGGGTCATACCCCGTCCATTCTCTGTCTCTACGCTTGGGGCCTGGCTTATCTTTCTACCTCTTCTTCTACTCAAGTGTCAAGTTCTACTCACTTTTAAGGCTTTGCTGTTGGAGCCTCAGATCTTCTTCTTTGTCGTCTTTTTTTTTTTTTAAGAACCTCGACCTCCCTGGGCTCAGGTGATCCTCCCACCTCAGCCTCCTGAGTCGCTGGGACTACAGGCATGTGCCACCACAGCCGACTAATTTTTTTTGTATTTTGTAGAGTTGGGGTTTTGCCTTGTTGCTCATTAGAATCTGCCTGCCTCGGCCTCCTGAAGTGCCAGGATTACAGGCGTGAGCCACTGCACTGGGCTGTAGCCTCAGATCTTTCATGAAGTGTTTTTCTGATACAAGTCAATCTGGATCTCTCTTTCCCCTGAAGAATTTAGACATTCAATGTCTGCAATATTTATTTGAAACATGCACTCTTATGTATATAATCTTATTTATGTGATTCTGTGAAAAACTTTTTAGCTGTCTGACCTTGGGGACTTGACATGAGCTTGTTTCCTCATCTGAACAATGGGTATAATCACACCTATTTTGCAGTAGAAGGTAATATTGAGAAAATTAACTAAGGTCATATATTACTATATGAAATATCTAGCACAATGCCTGACACAGAGTAGCCACTTGGGATCGGTAGTTCCCTTCCTCACTTTTTTTTTTTAATTTTTAGAGATGGGGTCTCACTATGAGACAGCCCAGGCTGTTCTCAAACTCCTGTGCGGAAGCAATCCTCATGCCTCAGCCTCCCAAAGTCTTGGGATTACAAGCATGAGCCACAACTCCTGGCCTCTTTCCTCACTTTTGTACGTTGCTTACTTGTCATTATTTTCCTGGTATCTTCACTTCCAGTGCTCTTCTGTTTGTCTGTTTGGGGAGTTGATTGGGGAGATGAGGTGTGATACTTAAATCTTAGTAAATTGTAAAATGCTTCTCCCATCTTCCTTCGTCCATTTTTCTGAGCCCCTACAGGCCCTCCATCAGTCTTGTGATAGGGGATAAAGTCATCAATGCCAAAGTGAAGGTGCAGGCTTGATAAGAGAGAGTGGGAGCAAGGCTACAAACCTCACAGGCATTTGGTATTGCTGAAGGACAACGTGTATGTTCAGGATCAGCTACTGGAAGGTATAACAAGAGAAGCCAGACAAGACAGTGGAAGAATCAGTCAGGGAGCCATTAGCAACTAAGATAGAGACAGGACATGGCAACGAGCTGGGGACTGGGGGAGGCCAGACAAATCTAAGTTCATGTACCACCTGGTCCTTCTTCCCCCACAGCTGGGCCTCTTCCCATCCTAACAACACAGGCTCTGAGCCCCAGGAGAGTTCCCTTTGCATGTATCTCAGGATGTTGGCCTCATCTTACCCCTCTGCATCTTTCAGTCCCTGGATGGGATATTTATCCCAGCTCCAAACCCCAGGACCAAACCTCAGCCCTGACCCATGTCCTTGGCCATGTGAGTCAGGCAATGTCCCAAACTTCCTTCTTCCTAGATGAGTGGTGAACATTTTATCTTAAAGTTGGTAAAAAATAAAGTTTAAAAATAGATTACAAAATTGTTATGCTTAACATTTGTAAGTGCCCTTTATCATTTTGACATCTTAAGCCTTAATAAATGAAAGTATAACTCACATGCATTGGACACATCAGTGAAATGAGGAAGGTTTCATAATGTTATACAGACAATATTCTGTGGATCTATTTTCAGCTTAGAATCCAAATACAACAAGGTACTTTTCATCAAAAGGGCAGCAATGAACCATACACAAAATTACCTCCTATCCACCCCGATATACCATGTTACAGGGCTCAGCCTCCAAGGCAGAATAAAAGTTGTCCTTGCTGAAAGTCCTCAGAGACAGTGGTCCCAGATTAGACAGACACAGCCTTAAAAAGCTATTGCTAGGGTTAGCAGGTGAAACCAAATTATCCAAGACTACAATGAGCATTATTTGGGAAAGACTAAGACAGTTGTGGTTTCCAGACTGTGCTGCACATTGGAATCACCTGAGGGTATTCAAAAACTACTGATGCCTGGTTTCAGTGGTATGCTGGTAAATATTTTAACAATCGGCTGTTTAGAAAGAAACGAAAGCCCTGATTTATAACCAATATCCATGGCATAAAAACTTCGATCATGGTTAATTTCTTCTTTTTTTTTTTTTTTTGAGACAGAGTCTTGCTCTGTTGCCCAGGCTGGAGTGCAATAGAACGATCTTGGCTCACTGCAATCTCTGCCTCCTGGGTTCAAGCAATTCTCCTGCCTCAGCCTCCCAATTAGCTGAGATTACAGGCATGTGCCACCACGCCTGGCTAATTTTTTTGTTTGTTTGTTTTAAGTAGAGACGGGGTTTCACCCTGTTGGCCAGCCTGGTCTTGAACTCCTGACCTCAGGTGATCCACCCGCCTTGGCCCCCCAAAGTGCTGGGATTACAGGCGTGAGCCACCGTGCCCGGCCATGGTTAATTTCAAGCTACTAGTATGACATCACTGAAGACAGAATTGGGAAGAGATGTACACAATAGGTTCTCCAGAGCCAGGTAGCAGCCAGCTTTAGCACACCACTGCCTGGTCACCTCCTCCCCGCTCGACACACAACTTCGTAGGTATAAGGTATGACGTAGGCATCAGGATTTTGAAAAGCTCCCCAGTAGATTCTAATATGCAGCAAAGTTGGGAACGACTGGGCTAAGGGGCCTTGTAATAAGGTCCCAGAAGCAAGAAACTGGCCAGTTGATTGCCTTCCAGTGACAGCTGGGTTGTAACGCTTGCCTCCTCAAGTACACTTTCTTCCCTTAGCAAGCCTCCATGGAAAGCTAAATCCTCAGCAGAAGGTTGCTCGGTGGACTGATCTCAGAGCATGGGGCAGGGGTGGGAGGTCCTGGAGGGGAGGCTGGTGAGAGATCTAAAAAACTAGGGGCAATGTGTCAATGTAATTGTCCGCTAGAAATTGCTGGGGGTGCTAGAAACACTGATAAATTCCTGCTCCAGGACATTGCTCCAGGGATGTCATTATCCTTCCATTAAAACTGTATTCTGACTGGGTGGTAAGTACCTGATTTGCTTAATTCTTAATCGTTATACCTTCAGCTCTGCTGACTGAGCTCTAGCCGTTCGGGTTGAAGTGTACCTAAGACTTGCAGGGCAGGTAGGGGAGGAATGAATTTTTTCTGCAGATGGCTGGTCGGGCCCCAGCTCTGGGTTACTGCAGTCCCTCTGCTTATGTCTGTCATAGTACTTGCCACCTGGCCTTGCAGATGTTTACTCATCCGTTGCCTTTAATGCTCTACAAGCTCCCCAAGGGCAGAGACTGGGCTCCTATTTTGCTAGGCATCCCCAGTGCCCAGTGTTGGTTTAAGCTGATGTAAACTGAGCTCTTCCATCCATTATAAAGTATTTTAAATTTACTTTCAGAAACACAAGCAGGCCAAGTGCAGTGGCCGAGTGCGGTGCTTGTAATCCCAGTACTTTGGGACAGGAGGATTGCTTGAGCCCGGGAGTTTGAGACCAGCCTAGGCAACATGCCAAAACTTTGTCTATACAAATACTAATAAAAACAAAATTAGCTGAGCATGGTGGTGGGCACTTGTAGTCTCAGCTACTCTGGAGGCTGAGGCAAGAGAGTAGCTTGAGCCCAGGAGGTCAAGGCTGCAGTGAGCTGTGATTGCACCCCTGCACTCCAGCCTGTGTGGCAGAGCAAGACCCTGTCTCAATATAAATAAAATAAAATAAAATCACAAGTAATTCATGAATAGATTCTTGGCATTTGCACACACACATGCACATTTTAAAATGTATGGTTCTCAGCTGGGTGCTGTGGCTCGCATCTGTAATCCCAGCACTTTGGGAGGCTGAGGTGGGCAGATTGCTGGAGCTCAGGAATTCTATACCAGCCTGGTCAATATGGTGAAACCCTGTCTCTACAAAAAATACAAAAAATTGCTGGGTGTGGTGGCAAACACCCCTAGTCCCAGCTACTTGGGAGGCTGAGGCACGAGAATCACTCGAACCCAGGAGGCAGAAGTTGCAGTGAGCTGAGATAGTGCCACTGCACTCTAGCCTAGATGACAGAGGAAGACTGTCTCAAGAAAAAACGAAGTATGGTTCTATTTTTTGTGTTTTCAAAATACATGCTATTATACTATACATATTGTTCTATAAATTGCTTTTTCACTTAATATATTATGAGGATCTTTTCATAATCTATTTATTAATGTGCTTTGTTCTTTCATAATGGTGAATTTGAAAGGTGACCTTGAGACAGGATTTAAGTGCAATTACTTTATGTGGGAGGTGAGGGTAATGCGGAAGTGAGACAGGGAAGGGAAGGAAGCCAATAAAGGGCGTTTTTTCAAGCAAGCCATCACTGTACGTAAAACCGGAGCTCAACTCCATGGGGAAACTGGGAGCCAGTGTAGTACACAACTGTCCAACGCTTCTACCTAAAGAAAGCTGGAGTATTTATCCAGTGACTTCCATCTGCCATTGATCGAGGGCTACTTCAGAGGCACATTGACTCAGGACTTTTGGCCTGCCATACACTTGGGCAGAGAGGGCTCTGGTGGCCAGAAAAAGCCTTCAGTCAAGGAGGTGCTTGTGCTATCAATTGGAAGTCAGTTGACATACACAGACATGGTAAGTGCTAGGTCATATGGGTGGGGAACTGATAGGATCTGCTCCAAAACAGATGTGACTTTGTGCCTTACTTTGTTAAATCCTTTCTCATTTCTCCTTTTTTTTTCTCACAAGCAACTCTTCAATAAGTATTCCCATCCATGTTTTCTTATGCACGTGTACAATTTTTTTTTTAAGAGAGAGTTCTGGCTCTGTGGCCCAGGCGGAGGTGCAATGGCACTATCCTTGCTCACTGTAGACTCAATTTCCTAGGTTCAAGCAATCCTGCAACCCCAGCCTCCTGAGCAGCTGGGACTTTAGGCACATGCCACCACACCTGGGTAATTTTTTCTTTTTGAGACAGTCTTGCTCTGTTGCCCAGGCTGGAGTGCAGTGGAGTGATCTCGGCTCAATGAAACCTCCGCACCCCCCCCCCCAGGTTCAAGCGATTCTCCTGCCTCAGCCTCCTGAGTAGCTGGGACTACAGGTGTGCGCCACCATGTCTGGCTAATTTTTTGTACTTTTAGCAGAGATGGTGTTTCACCGTGTTAGCCAGGATGGTCTCGATCTCCTGATCTTGTGATTCACCCACCTCAGCCTCCCGAAGTGCTGGGATTACAGGCATGAGCCATCACACTGGGCCCACCCGGGTAATTTAAAAAATTTTTTTGTAGAGACAGAGTCTCACTATGTTGTCCAGGCTGGTCTTGAACTCCTGGGCTCAGGCAATCCTCCAACCTTGGCCTTCCAAAGTGTTGGGATTATAGGCACGAACCACCATGCCTGGCCCAGTATTTCTTTAGGATACATGCCTACAATGGGTCCATCCATTACACAATATTTCTGTTTAATATTACTCTCCTGGACTGGGAAATGCCTACTGTAACCTCAGAACTCCTGGCTGCTAGAGTGTGCATATCTTCTCTCCTAAAGCCTTCAGTCTTGATTCCTTTCAGGAACCCTTTCAAGATTGAAGATAGGAGAGCATTTAATGACTTTCCTACTGCCCTATGTGAGATTCTCATGGCCTCATTAATTCTCTCCACTGGCTGTCCCTGTGACTTTACTCTTGTCTCCTGCCTTCAAAACCTGTTGTTGATACATTCAGATTTTAAGTAGTACTCTAGTAATAAAAATCAAATCTTGGAGCAATTAGTTTCTTTTATTTGGTCAGACATTTTACCTCTGTTTACCTGTGTAGGCCATCATTTCCAAATAAGGAGCACATGTTCACAACCTGAGACTGGGTCTGTGCAATTCTTTCTTTACAGTTGCTAGTACAAGGACACAACTAGGAATTTATTTTTTAAATTTTCAATGCAAAACTTAATTTTTATTTTTAAAATCAACTTTATTGAGCTGTAATTTATATCCAATAAATATTTTAAGTTCCATGAGCTGTGGATTCTTTTTTTGTTTGTCTTTGTAGATATGAGGTCTCTCTTGCTATGTTACCCGAGCTGATCTCAATTGACCTGGGCTCAATCGATCTTCCGGCTGCAGCCTCCCAGAGAGCTGGGTTTATAGGTGTGAGCCACCACACCAGGCTGGCATTGGTTTTTAAATTTTATTTTCCAGTAGTTCATTGCTGGTATATAGAAATACACTTGAATTTTTTATATTGACTCTTTTTGCAGCCTTGCTAAATCCATTTATTAGTTCTAGTGGCTTGCTTTCTACATTCGTGAGGATTCTCTAATCTTATTAATCTATAAATAAAAACAGTTTTATGTCTTCCTTTCCAATATTTAGGCCATTTATTTATTTTTCTTGACTTATTACACTGTCTAGGGCCTCCAATGAATAGTTGAATAAAAGTGATGAGAGCAAAACTTCCTTGCCTTGTCCCCAATCTTAGGAAACAGTCTTCTACCATTCAGTCTTTCAGCATTCAGAATAATGTTATTGGTAGGTTTTTCATAGATGGTATTTATCAGCTTTAAGAAGTCCCCCTTTAGTTTTAATCTGCGAGTACTTTTGGTTCCAGTGGTTTATATTTCACCATGCTAAAAGATGGTGTGACTCTAGGTCTTGGTTTTCTTTTCCCTAGTAATATTATACAGAAAGCACAGTTTCAGATTCAAATAGACTTGAACTCTGTCACTTTCCAGCTATGTGATCTTGTTCTAGTTCTCTATCATCTACATCAATTTCCTCACTCATAAAATAAGGATAGCTAGTTTTGAAGGTTATTGTGAATGGTATTTGGTTTGCTTGCATGTGTCTGACATATGATAGACACTCAAAAAATATTCTCTCTCTCCTCTTGCTTTTTTTAGTAATATGCTTTTCACTTTATAATGACATTTATAATGTCTGGACTGGGAACAGTAGCACATGCCTGTAACTCAAGCACTTTGGAATGCCGAGTGGGAGGATCACTTGAGGCCAGGAGTTCAAGACCAGCCTGGGCAACATAAAGAGACCCCCAACTCTACCAAAAAATAAAACGAAAAAATAAGCAACGCATCGTGGCATGAACCTGTTGTCCTAGCTACTCAGAAGGCTAAGGTGGGAGGATTACTTAAGCCCAAAAGTTTGAGCTTACAGTGAGCTATGATCATGTCACTGCTCTCTAGCATGGGTAATAGAGTGAGACCCTGTTTTCTAAATGATAATAATAATAATAATGTCCAGACCTCGTTAGAATAGGAAATATTAGGATGATTTGTGAGTTCTTCGTAAAGCTAAATGTACTGTCCCTTCTTCTGAGATTCTATTTCTCCTACCTTCTTGGTGTCAAAATGTCCCTATATTATTATTTGATGATGATGTTGATGAGGATGATGATGATTTACTATCCTTACGTGGTATAATAAGTTAGCAAACTTATTTCAGTATGCTACACACCACCAATTTTTAAAAAGTTACTGACCTGAGTATACAGCAGAGTATATTTTCCAGTACGCCTTGATTTGTGCCATGGTAACAGATCGACTGTCATCATTATTACTCAGGGCAACTATGGACCTGTTTGGAGTCACTTCAGAATTCTAGCCTTCATCCTACAACCAGGGGTTGTTGGCCCCCATGACAGAGAGCTGTAAGGTATTGGGTGCAGAAGGTTCATGCTGCTCCAGTGGATTGAGGTCGGCTTCACCTAACCTGAAAAAAAATAGATAGTTATACACTTTGTGGCTCTAAACATGGGGAAGTTTTGGATATGCTGAAAAATACATAAAAATTGATAAATACCAAGATAAAGGGTCCACGTCAACATGTTGACTAGTTTGAGGGAACCCAGGATTTGTGAGAAACCTCATGTAGGGCATAGAGACAGAATCATGAGTGAGAAGAATTTGGCTGAGGCTTAACTATATAAGTCTCAATTTCATCGCCGTTAAGTGGAAATGATCACCCTGTCTTGCCTCTCCGGAGTGTTTGCTGCAGATTGAATGATAATGGATAGGAGAGTGCTTTGCAAACTACAGCATCCCCAGACAAATTGAAGAAATGACTCTCTTTTACTTTGTTGACAATTTAGAAGGCAATATTTCTAGACACATGACATCGCTCCAGTCAATCCTTTCACTGAGAAGAGATGATGAAAATGTACATGGCCTGTAGGCTAAATACTGTCAGAACATGTTATCACCAAATAAATCTGGACAATCCAATTTTTTTTTTTTTTTTTGAGACAGGATCTCACTCTGTCACCCAGACTGAAATGCAGCGGCGTGATCTTGGCTCACTGCAACCTCTGCCTACCAGGCTCAAGCAATCCTCCTGCCTCAGCCTCCTAAGTAGCTGGGACTACAGGTGTGCGCCACCATGCCTGGCTAATTTTTGTATTTTTAGTAGAGATGGGGTTTCGCCATGTTGGCCAGGCTGGTCTTGAACTCCTGACCTCAGGTGATCTGCTTGCCTCGGCCTCCCAAAGTGCTGGGATTACAGGTGTGAGCCACTGCATCTGGCTCGACAATCCTATTTTTAATGCCATATTCCCAAACCTGGTAACAAGGCAGAGAGCCTCCATTCTGGTGGGCTGCTGGATGCACGGTGGGGTCTGAAGTTCATGAAAGGACAGCCAGGGGCTGTGTCAGTTGCTCATGCTGCCATGTTCTGGGTAAATGTCTCAGATAGCATTTGAGCTGCGTGATATACTGGTGTCAATTCAGAAGCGGACTCTAGCACTAGCAATATCTTCAACTGACAGTAAATTATTTTCATTGCCCTAAGGTCCATGTTGTTGGAATGCATTCAGATTACAGACCATTACTGAGAAATAACAGTTGTCATTTGTTGAGTACTACCTATGCAGAGGGACAATTTTAAGTGCTTTAATATATTATCTTATTTAATTATCTTAGCAACCCTATGAGGATAGTACCTTCTTTGCCTTCATTTTTTTTTTTTTTTTTGAGACAGAGTTTCACTCTTGTTGCCCAGGATAGAGTACAATGGAACAATCTAGCTCACTGCAACCTACACCCCCACCAGGTTCAAGTGATTCTTCTGCCTCAGCCTCCCAAGTAGCTGGGATTATAGGCGTGCGCCACCACGCCTGGCTAATTTTGTATTTTTAGTAGAGATGGGGTTTCATCATGTTGGTCAGGCTGGTCTTGAACTCCTGACCTCAGGTGATCCACCTGCCTCGGCCTCCCAAAGTGCTGGGATTACAGGCGTGAGCCACCGTGCCTGGCTAGTCTTCATTTTTAAGGTAAGGAAACTGAGGCATACAGAACTGAGTACCTTATTCAAGGTCATGATTAACTGGTGGCAGAGATTGAATTGGGCCAAGGCAGCCTCACTCAGGTGTAACCTATATTGCTTTTCTATTTTTATTAGACATGTGCTCTTTCCAGGCACTGGACTAGTCAACTACAGGGATTGATAAAACAAAATCCATGACCTCAAAAGCACTCAGTCTAGTGGGGAGGAGTTACAACACAATGTAGTAAGTACTGCATATTTATCCCTCTGATGCAGATTTATTTTTCTCCAAAGCATCCTTTATTGCCAACTAGCAAACTACATATTTACATCCTTATTTTTTTTTATTTTCTGTCCTCCTTTACTCAAACTATAAACTCCATGAGGGCAGGGTCTTCATTTTGTTCACTTTATATCCTATTATCTAGAGGTGTGTCTGGCAAGTAAATTTGTAGAAGCTGTGTTCAAGGAACAGGAGTGGAAATTAAATAAAAATGAACAAAAGATGTCACAAAATATTACAGGATTCTTCCTCAGTAATCTGGACTGACCAAATCTTCATGCAATGGAGTATGCTGAAAGCTTCAGGGAGAAGAAAGGACATCAGCTAGAGCTCGGGCAGTGAAGCTGCCCTTTAGATGTCCTGGAGTTATTTTAGATGTATGTACCTTTACACTCCAGTCATCCCCCCACCACTGAGGAATTACCACTAAAAGAAAATGTTTGGAGTAGGGAAGACATTTCTCAATATAATAACAAAATTTAGCTTGCAGCAGAAACTGTAAAGAAAAAGATTGCTAGATTTGAAATAAATATTTAAAAGTTATGTGATAAGCAAAAGGCAAATTTAGCACTCAGAAATCTTTACTTATAGATAAGAGTTGCTGGGCACCGTGGCTTATGCTTGTAACCCCAGTACTTTGGGAGGCCAAGGTGGGAGGATTGCTTGAACCTAGCCCCGGTTTGAGACCAGCCTGGACAATAAAGTGAGACCCTGAAAAAAAAAGCCATGCATAGTGGTGCATACCTGTAGTACCAGCTACTAAGGACACTAAGGCTGGAGGATGGCTTGAGCCCTGGAGTTCAAGGCTGCAGTGAGCTATGATGACACCACTGCACTCCCACCTGGGTGACAGAGCAAGGCCCTGTCTCAAAAAAAAAAAAAAAAAGTTTAGTCTTAGTTTGTGAATAAATTTTATAAAACAATAACAACAACAAAATCCAAATAGAAAAAAATGGGCAAAGAACACAAATGAAAATATTTAAATAGCCAATAAAATTCACCCCAAAAGTTTAGCCATAGTAATGATCAAAGACATGCAAATTTGAACAATACTTAGATTCCATTTTTTTCTGTATCAGATTGGCCAGTGAAAAATACTGTTAAAATCCAGTGTTGATTTTTTTTATAGGGAAATTGGCCACTCGTGAATATACTGCTGCTGGGACTGTAAATTCTTATAGCCATTTTGGAGAGTGATTTGTTAGTATGTCTTGAAAGCATTAAAATACCTTTAACCCAAAAATTCCATATCATGATAAAATAGAAATAAGTGCAGAGATGAATGTTCATAAAATTGAGAGTTTGACCGAATAAAATGGCCAGCAATAGGGGATTGGTTATGTAAATTACAGAATAACCCCATACCGGAATAATATGCAGCCTTAAAGTGATACAGATTTTAAACTCTGCTTCCAAGAGTTCCACAGAAATCCTATAGAACTCTTCGGAACCCTATGGAATCCTTTTACTAACCTATTGGAAGGTAGTGAAACGTAAATGTGTAGATAGAACTGAGGCTCCCACCTCTTTCCTTAGACAGAACAGCTCTCTTCCTATCTGTTCTATGTATTAGGGTTTTGAGTAAGAATCCATTAAAAGGCAGGGGAGGATGTTTCATTAACATTGAAAAAACTAACATTGTTGAGAAATGTGTCTGAAGCTACTAACTGGTCTATTTTAATTTGTTTTGAGACAGGTTCTCACTCTGCTGCCCAGGCTGGTTTTGAACTTCTGGGCTCAAGCAGTCCTCTCACCTCAGCTTCCCGAAGTGCTGGGATTACAGGTGTGAGTCACCATGACTGGCCCTAACTGGCCTTTAAATAAATTACTCAATTTTACTGGGCCCCAGTTTCTTTGATGTGATCATGTCTTACTGCAGCCTTGGCCTTTTGGGCTCCAAGTGATCCTCCAGCCTCAGCCTCCTGAGCAGCTAGGAGTACAGGCATGTGCCACCACACCTGGCTGATTTTTTATTTTTTGTAGAGACAGGGTCTCACTCTGCTGCCCAGGCTGGTTTTGAACTTCTGGGCTCAAGCAGTCCTCTCACCTCAGCTTCCCGAAGTGCTGGGATTACAGATGTGAGTCACCATGACTAGCCCTAAATGGCCTTTAAATAAATTACTCAATTTTACTGGGCCCCAGTTTCTCTCCTTTTTTTTTCTTTTTCACATCTGAGGTAGGAAAACAAGGCTGTCCAGCTCGTGGTGGTCCTGACAATGATCCTTGAGGGGTGGTCTTGGCCTCCAGCCATGGCTTGGGAGAAAAGGGAGCCTCCCAGTGTCCCGATCTACAAAAATGAGACAAGCACCTAAGGTCCTTGCCAATAAAAAATTCTAAGAGACTGAACTTCCACTCCAGGTTTCAAGTGTTTTGCCTGAATTCACACCCATGTCTGCTTCCCTCCCAAAGGTTTCTCCTTGGGATGATGCTGAAGCAGCAAAGCTCCCCAGAGCTGTTATGCAGACCTGGACACCCAGCACTGTGCAGAGGGCAACATCTCGGACATGCCTCTTTAAGGGATGAATAGACTTGGAGGGAGGTCACATAGATAAGTCCACCCGGGGGCGCTGCATGGGATGACAGATCTGAAATGTGTCATCTCTGCTCTGGCCCCGATCTCTGTACCCTTTTTTATTCATTAGCTTTTTATTTTAGAAGGGTTTTAGATTCACAAAAAAGTTGTAAAAACAGTATGGAGTTCCCATATACCCCTTGCAAAGTTTCCCCTATTGCTAACATCTTACATTACTAAGGTACTTTTGTCACAACTAAAGAACCAACATTGGTACATTGTTTTATATATATATATTCTTTTTTTTTTTTTTTTCAGAAACAGGGTCTTGCTATATTGCCCAGGATGGGTTCAAACTCCTGGACTCAAGTGATCCTCCTGCCTCAGCCTTCCAAGTAGCTGGTACTACAGGCATGAGCCACTCCACCCTGGTATATTAATATTAACTAAACTCCACACACTATCCAATTTCACTGTTTTAAAAAATGTCCCTTTTCAGTTCCAGGATCCCAGCCAGGATATCACATTACATTTAGTTGTTATGTCACTTTAGCCTCCTCTGATCTGTGACACTCCCAGACTTTTCCTGTCCTTGATGACCTTAAAGATTTTAAGAGGTACTGGTAAGGTATGTTGTAGAATGTCTCTCAAATTTGGGATTTTTTTTTTTTTTTTCCAGGCAGGGTTTTACTCTGTTGCCCAGGCTGGAGTGCAGTGGTGTAATCATAGCTAACTGCAGCCTCCAACTCCTGGGCTCAAGCCATCCTCCCATATTGACCTCCAAAGTGCTGGGATTGTGGGTGTTGAGACACCGTGCTCAGCATTTTTTTCCTTAAGACAGTCTCACTGTGTTGTCCAGGCTTGGGTACAGTGGTGTGATTAATCAGAGCTCACTGCAGCCTTGGCTTCCTGGGCTCAGCTGATTCTCCCACCTCAGCCTCCCGAATAGCTGGGACCACAGGTGGGCACCACCACACCTGGCTAATTTTTGTATTTTTTGTAGAGGCAGTTTTCGCCATGTTGCCCAGGCTGTGCCTGATGAATTTTTTTTTTTTTATGAGTACCTTAAAGTTACTCATTTGCCCAGTTGCAAGATTCTCCAAGGCTTTATTTATGCTGGCAGAGCCAGCATCTTTCTAAAAAATGACATTGATATATATTCACCTAAGTAAATTCATGTACCCATCTCAACTCTTCCCTTTGACGGTGTGGACAAGCTCATATTCCAAAGCATATGACCCTAAAACTGAAAAGATGCAACAACACTTCAGGTTTTGTGCTGATACATTTGTTCGAAACATTGGATGAGATGATACAGAGCATTTTACACAGTGCCTGACACATAATTGGCACTCAATACATATTAGCTATTGTTATTGAGAAGTACTAGGTCTTTTCTTCTTACATTTCTTGGCATTTGTTAAGTCATGGCATAGTGCCAGAGATCACATGGATGGAAAGGTAAAGTGTAAGGAGTAAGGAGATGGGGTGAGAGGCATTTCATGATTTGTCAAATTTTGAATAAAGGAACCTCACCTCTTACAAAAATAAAAAGTACTGGAAATGCAGTAACAAGTAAAGAACAAGAATGTACACCTGAAAGTAGTATTATACGTTAGGAATATAGGAAAGACCACCTGGACCTGCCCTGGCTTTTTTCTTTTTTTTTCAGGGTCTCACTCTGTTGCCCAGGCCAGACTGCAGTGGCACAGTCTTGGCAGCCTTGACCTCTCATGCTCAGGTGATCCTCCCACCTCAGCCTCCTGAGTAGCTGGGACTACAGATGCACCCACTATGTCTGACTGGCCTGGCATTTTGATTTGTTAAAAAATATTTAGTGATAACCTACTATGTGCCAGCCATTGTGTTAGGTATGAGGATACAACAGTGAATAGACAGATTTGGTTCTTACCCTCATGGAGTTTGCTGTCTACTGAGGGACACAGCAGTTAATAAAGTAAACATTTCTAGACATCGAAACTACAAATAATAATAATAATGATAATAAATAAACAAATGAATATGCAATTATAAATGGTGATAAACAATAACCATCTCTAACAGACAATTCAAACTCAATTTGTCCAAATTAAGTTCTCTTTTCCCTTGTGCCTTGTCCAGTGTTCTCCATCTCAGTAAATGACACCATCATTCACCAATTACTTACTCAGTGTGTCAGTAAGTTGCTTTAGATCAAAAACCTTGAAGTGATTCTTGACTCAGAATTTCCCCATATCTCAGTCAGTCTTGTCTTTTGGCTGTACCTTCCAAAGTCATCCTGAATTCAACTTCTTCTTGCCATTCCTGAGACTAACGTATTGCCCAAGGCATCATCATGTCTCATCAGGAATATCCAAAGCATCTTGCTGCTTTTAATCTTTTTCCTGTGAAGACTATTCTCTGCACACCAGTAAGAATGATCCTTTTTGGCATTCTCCCCAGATA